CTGAGTTGTTTGATGACAGATATGTAGTCATACGTAGAGACCGAGACGGCAAGTTTTTAAAACGGTTTAATAAGCATCATGGTGGCGGCGCGTTGGTGGCAGTTTCGAAACGACTTGGTGTTACTGTCAGGGATGATTGGCAATCTAATTACGTGGAGGACTTGTGGGTACAGATTACTATCGGTAGTAATGTGATCATAAACTTATGCACTGCATATCTTCCTGACTATTTGCTACTTACAGACTTTTCTAGCTTTTTGAATCGTTGTGCTTCTGTGATGACAATGAATCCTAGGCAGACTACGTGTATTATGGGTGATTTCAATTTGGGCGAAGTGATCTGGTCAAAGGAAACTAATGCGCCAATAAATAATAGTTGCCAAAAATCTGAATTACTCTACAACTTATTCCATTCAATGAATATATCTCAGTTGAACCATATTACAAATCATAACAATAGATTGTTGGATTTGTTAATCACCAATAGTCCAGATGCATTCTCTTTGCGACGTGCTATCCCTATAGGTCGTCTTGACTCACCCCATCCTCCCTTTGAGGTTGACTATCATAGCAATGAGCCTCTATTGCGTCCAAACAATCTTTGTGATAGACTTTGCTTTCGAAAAACGGATTTCCCAAGCTGCTCAAATAAGCTTCAAGGCATTGATTGGTCTCATTATGCTGATTCACTCAATTGGGACGACTTTGTTCAATTCTTTTATAATCAACTATATGATATTACTAACCTACATACCCCAAAAATTAACGCCCGTAGTTCTAATTATCCTGTCTGGTTCTCACCTAGCTTAATTAGGATTCTTAGACAAAAAGCCATATACCATCGCCTTTATAAGCGCTTCGAAAATCCTAGAGATTATGATACTTTCTCTATGTTACGCTTGCGTGTGAAGTCCTTACTGCAAAGCTGTTTTAAGCTTTACATCTCTAAAGTTGAAAAAGACTTATCGATTAATTTGAGGTCCTTCTGGCGTTATACGAAGAGTAGGCGAGTTACTAATGTTATGCCGAATCGTATGTATCTACACGACCGGGTGGCTACCACGGGTGGTGATATAGTGAATCTCTTCGCTGAATTCTTCTCAGCTGTCTACCTAAAAAACACAAATGTAGCATACACCCCAGATTTTTCGTGTCATAATTACTCCCTGAGTAAATTACAGATACGAAGGGACCCTGTGTTAGTATTACTAAAGAACGTTGACTTATCTAAGGGTGCCGACCGGATTGTATTCCACCAATATTTATACGTATGACTGCCTTAGTATTGGTTGAACCATTGACTTTAATATATAATAAATCACTGAGTGAAGGAGTGTTTCCGTCCTTATGGAAAATAGCTAAGATTACGCCAATATTCAAATCTGGTGACAAGAACAACGTCTGTAACTACCGTCCAATTAGCATATTAAGTTGGTTTGCAAAGTTCTTTCAGTCGCTTCTATATCAGCATCTGTATAATCATGTCGGCCCTAACCTCAGTCTGAAACAGCACGGGTTTGTTGGAGGTAGATCAACCAATTCCAATTTATTAACCTATACCAATTTTTTGTGAACCTCTTTTGACAGCGGGAAGCAGGTTGATGCTATATACACTGATTTTGTCAAGGCATTCGATCGTGTGAATCACTCCATACTTCTGGCAAAGGCTAGTCACATGGGTATTCACGGAAGTTTGTTGCGTTGGCTTGCTTCGTATCTCCTTAATCGTTCCCAGCTGGTGGTGGTAAGTGGTTATGAATCTTTCCCATTTATCTCGAGTTCAGGGGTGCCTCAAGGTTCAAACCTGGGCCGCTTTTGTTCCTGATTTTTATCAATGACCTCCTCTGTACCATCCAGTGTGAATGTCTTGCATTCGCCGATCACATTAAGATTTATAATCGAGTTGTGGAAGTGGAGGATTGCTTGGCTCTACAAAAAAATTTGGAAATCATTGTCAGTTGGGGTATTGTCAATCATATGCCACTCAATGTGGGCAAGTGTCAGGTGATATCCTTCACGAAAAATAGGCACCCTTTGCGCTTTAACTATAACATACATGGATCTGCTCTTAGCCGTGTCGAATGTATTCGTGACTTAGGGGTATTTTTTTACTCTTCCCTGTCATTTCACCCACACTACGATCATGTCTGCGGGAAAGCAAACAAAATGCTGCTCTTTCTACTCAGACACGCCTTTAAAAACATAAATTCGTGGATCATCTTGTATGGGGCCCTCGTTAGAAGTATCCTTGAATATTGCTCATCAGTATGGTCTCCGGTATACAAAATCCATATAGACAGGTTAGAGGCTATACAGCGCAGATTCCTGCGAGCTTTGACTGCGAAGTGTGGTATACGTAAAGCAATGCGCGAATACAGTGATCGTTTGAACTACTTTCATATGGTTTCATTAGAAAAACGTAGGTGGATGAATGATTTACGTGCACTGCACAAAATTGCCAATAGTTTTTCTGACGATGGCTTGCTAAGGATGCTACTGTTCAGGGTGCCGACTCGGTCTGTGCGTAATCAACGACTATTCAGTATACCCATTTAAAAAAACAATGTATCACAAAATAATCCTCTATATAGGATGTGTGGGTATTATAATGAAATATGTACTAATTGTGATATCTTTAACTGCAGTGTCCCAGCATTTAAGAGGTCACTGCTAGCATTAATGTAAAGTGAATAGCATATTCTCATTCTCTCTATTTTTTATTTCTCTCGATTTTTTTTTATGATTGATTTAGTGTCTGTTTAAGTATATCTAAATGTTTTAAAATGAATGTTGAGCACAGTAATAATTGGGCACAGATATGCCTGTTGTATTCATTTTTAAGTGTTTTTATTTTCCTCATTTTCTGTATCTGATGTCTGTACATTGTGTCATAAATAAAAAATAAAAATAAATAAATAAATCCGGAAAAATAATTTCATTTCCTATCAGTAGTAGACTTTTTAAAATATGGCACCCTTTATACCCTTGAGGAGAGTTAAATACAGTGTCCAATGTAAAAAAAATATATAAAATAAATGAAATTTCAATATATTCAAACTTGTATTTGGATAATGTGGGAATAAAGAATTGTTTAAATTTCTGCTTTGTTAACAAGAATATTTGAAATTGTGAACGGTGACTGACTGGACTCTTTTATTAGGACTGTATGATATTATTATGCCGCAAATTCGCTCTATAATATAATAATAATAATATAATAATAATTCTTTATTTCATAAAAGATTTGTACAGGATGTAACACGTAATCTGTAGATACATATGAAATTTTAACAGTATAACTCGTACAAATTAATCTATTGAACTCTGATTATCCAAACTAGGCATAGGCCTGTATCTTGGAAATCAGTGTTCGACCATAACGTTTGATCTATTCGAGTAAAACATTTAGAACATAAACAATACTACGTGTATACTAGTGTAAAAGGAACTGATTTACTATTATTACAGAAATAATGTAGCAAAAATAATGTAGCAAAGAAAAGTTTGTAAGTTAGAGGGTGTAGTGTATGTATGTAGGTAGGTTTGAGTGTGTGTGGGTGAGTGTGTGTTTGTGTGTATGTGTGCGTGAGAGAATGAGTGTGTGTTAGGAGCCGGTTGCGAGAAGATTTTCTGTGTCGTCGTAGTTCTGATTTAAAAGCCAATTTACCAATCTTTTTTTAACCTCAAATTTGTTTAAACTGTGGATGTTTAAAAGATTATTTACACAGTTGTAAAGGATGGAACTAGATATATGAAATTGTCGAGTTGAAAACTTAGTTTTATGCCGAGGAACAGGGCAGATATCCTTGTGTGTTGACATACTCGGATGTTAGAATATATTTTTCATGAGTGTTTCGAATAAGAATAACTTACTATACTTTCATTTGACGTCGCTGCATTCTTTACGTGTGTTAATTTAATAGCTGACTAATATCAAATAATGGAAAATATGGAAAGTAAGTGATGTTTCAAAGTTTAAAAGTAAGTAAGTAAGTTTTAAAGTATTCCTTTGCTACGCCATACTTGAATAGAATTAGTAACGTAAGTAATTAGGAAAAAATACATCGTAATTTGGAAAAATATACATTCGGGATTTTTTTATAAATCTTTATTGCATATAAGTAAAATACTTACATTTTTAAGCATAACAAGGCCCTCTGCCATGCTCTAAAAAAGTGGTAATCGTTAAGGCAAGATACTTCGTATAAAAGCTAGTCGTAAATGCTGGAGCAATAAGGTTGCGTTTGTGTTAATTTTTTTATTAAGTTTATGCAACTAGTGGGTGAGAAATTTAACTACATGAAAAAAAATATTCAACACAAGCGCAGCCATTTTGCTCAATTTAACCATAACTGGGTCCGTAGAATAAAAATAGGATTTACTTCCATTTTTTTATACTGTGAGTAATCATAATCAGGGGATTATATAGCTTCTACAATTGACCATCACAAAGTCTAGTTTTAACGGCAAACTAATGAATTCTAGCCATCCCAGCTTAAATATAACTTGTGGCGGTTGGACTTTCGTGCGGTGTTGTTTGGTCGCTTCTTGAACCTAACTCCCTGATCTCAGTCGACTTTACTTTTGCCGGTGAACGCTTCTCCATTTACAAAATCCAAATTTTTTTAGATCAACTGTAATCTTAAATTGATCTCAAAAATAGTAAACCCATACCGACGAAAGCATGTATATTCAAATGTACACATTCTAACATGTTTTATTATTACGTACCTCACGCGGCACAGTGCTATTAATGTTAGCGTGAGAAAAAATCCATTCCACGGCCCGGCTACAGACGCCTGCAACAGAAGTCCCTGAAAACCGAAAACACTTTGAATGAATAATTATGTGTAGTTTGTGAAATGATATGGTTTTATTACTATAGGATAGCGCAGTTATATCTACTTCAATTAAACAACTTAGGTACAGATACTGCATTGGACAAAGGTTATTTTCATATAGTACGAGAATACTGTGACTAATACTATTGTTACTATAATAAATGGAAAATTTAACATGGCTATCAGTTGGTTTTTGTAAAGAGCTCTCAAAATCTAGAAGTTCTGAATTAAAAACAATTTTTTTATGACCTGCATTTTCCAGCAACTCGTTTAGGATTTTTAATACAAAGTAACGGAGTAAAACGGAACGGCACAGATTTTTATGCAATCTTTTGGCTAATAAGTTAGTGGCCAACGTCATGAAAAGTATAATGACAGATCAGATGTCAATGGCATTATTGTATTAACTGACAACATTAAGCGAAACTGACACTGGCCCAAGCCTAGTGGCCGCCATCAAGGAAATAGAATAGAATATTATTACAATGTATATCAATTGTAATCAAGTTTTTGAATATTTTACCGTTTAAGTGTTACTGCTTTTAATTTTTTTTTTAGTATCGCTGTGTTGCTGATAATTATTTAAACATGTAGGAAATTTCTATTTTCTTTATTTAAATTATTCCTTTGTGTAACAATGCGAAAAGGTTTTGCGAAGAGCTGGATATTTTGTTTTAAATCAATTTAAAAAATGCAGGTCATAATGTTTTTTTTTTATTATTCTGTTAAGCTCTACATTTCAAGCTTATATTTAGCAAAAAAGTTGAAGCTGGTTACATTTTTCTGGGAGTAAACTACCAAGCTCCATACTAATTCGGTACTAGTCATCCGAGTGACGTGTAAGCATTGGCGCGCCGAACAGACGGGAGTTGGATTATTTGTCCTATTATAGTATGAAATTTCCCTTGTTTAGTAACAAAATCTTGCTATTAAACAAGGGACTAACAGCATTGATGCTTGTCTACATATACTTTTGTTTTTTATATTACTGACAGTTCGCACGAATATACAAAAATCTGTTCCGTTTTAGTGGAGTAGGTATATTCAATTGTGGAATGTCGTTTCTCTCCCGAAAACGCAGCAGCATTTCTTAGTTTTCTTAAAAATTCTACAATTCATTATTTTTCCCTATAAGTGGTTAGTTGGCGAACACGCTTGCCAACAGTAGGTCTCGTTAGGCCTAGTTGAGCTCAGTCCGCCATTTTAGCTTTGTACGGTATGGTTGTGTTAATTATTTCGTGCAAATTCTCTAAAACCATAGAAAAATGCCTTACTGTTTAGGAGTGCAAAAATTATAACCGCACCAAAAATGTTGCCCATAGTGGTATTTCATATCATCGGTAAGTATATTTTTTTTAAGAAATTCGTAGCGTATCTATGATAAATACAATGAATAGCGACATCTCTAGCCAGGGCTGGTAGCTGTAAAGGTTTAACTGGGTGACGAAATATCATAGATTTGTCATAGATGACGATACAGCTAAAAAGTCGTTCAAAAACCCAATACAAAGATACGAAGCAAGCACATAGACATTGTGAGGTCCGCTGGTTCGTGCCATGGCTTAGTTGGTATAGCGTCTGCCACGGTATGCTAGAAGACGTCGGTTCGAATTTGACCGGATCGAAGGATTTCTTTCTGAGTGTTCGATCTTTGTATTAATAATTATAACAAACTAGTTGAGTAATTTCACGTAAAAATAATTGAAATCAAATTGCAATGATAAAAATTAAACATGACATTACAAAGTTCTGTACCAGATTGTAATCCTACTAATGTTCGGGACATCAATGCACACTAAAATAATTATACTGTTCATACATAGCTCATAATTTACTTATTACTAAAGCGATAAGGAAATGGGTGAATATCTGTGTAGGTGCTGGGTAAGATACCCTTTAAATATTCTGGATTTTGGACCAAAAACATCCACACCGGTGTTCTTCATAGATATCTCGTTATAATGCCGACGCATTCTTATCACGGTGTTATAGAATGAACGTAAAGTACCAACCTGTAATGAATTCTCACATATAACTACTCTTAATTCCTGGTAATAGTTTTTTGAATCTCTACAACTCTTGAAATAATCAGAGAGCTCCATAAACCTATCTACGCTACGTTGCAGATGGTGGAAATTGTAAGCATTTTGATTATTAAGTTTCAAGTCTGTAACAATTGGAATTAGTTTTTAATGGTACAAATAAATATTGGATGAAAATAAACGATATACGCGGAGATTTGTTAAATATGTTATATTTTCCACAATATAATACAGTGCAGTGCAGTACAATACAATACAGTATAATAGAGGAATTTATTTCGGAAATGATATAAAAGCTCCATAGTAATACAACTTATAATCGATATACGCCCTTAGGAGTGATGCAAGCCGGGTAAGTGCAGAGGTGCACCTTTTTCTCAGTATGGTAAATATCCCGGACGAATTATTAATAATTTCAGTCAATTTTTATTTAACTGTTGCAAAACAAAGATGAGAAGGATGGTTGGATTGAGGCATCAAGTATATAACCAGAAATAGAGACGAAGTAAGGGCTGTCTATCCCTGGAAACTCATCAGGTAAATGGGCCTTATATCACTTTTAAATATCGACTCTTGTTTGCACTGAAATCCCAAATTAGGAAATTGAAATAGTATTACAGCGCCAACAACCGACCTGTGTGTACGTCTCTGTATATTCGAAAAATATGCTGTATTTATTGTAATAAAGATAATATTTCTAACAATGGGGACTATTCCATTCGGTGGTGTGGGAAAAACAGCGAAACGTCTAATTACAAAACAAACAGAATCACATTTCATCGGTAGTAATTTTGAAATTATCGTCCTTAATAGCAAAGCTCAAGTTAAACTGGTCGATTTGAAGCGAAACAATTGGCGACACCCGTCAATTGTTTCGAATCGGAGCGCAGTTGTCACAGTAATGATTTGGCAGAATAGTTTTTAAACAAATTAAATGACATTTCGTCTCTATTTCTGGTTATATACTCGATAGATTGAGATCTGATTATACACTTATTTATTCCTTTATTTTGTTCCATCCTCTAAGACTTATACGCATGTGTATATCATACGTGTATTGTTTTTTTAAATCGTTTTGTTTCGTTGCGGGTAGCGTTTGAGCAAAAGACAATATTTTGGTAATTGCAACTATTCTTGTGCTTATAAATATTAAGAATTTCTTTTGAAGAACCAAAGAAACCGAACTTTGCGTTCGGTCGTGCTCTAGACTAATGTTAATACTAGAGATGTGCACCGTGCAGTTGTCGACGATACATTCCACCGGCGCAAAATCAGCATGGCAAAAATGTATTTTATTTTAATGAAGTATGTATCAGTTTCTTTCATAATGATTTATTGTATTTCAATAGTATTAATTTCGTATAATTAAAATAAATTACATTCCTGTTTACGTATATCCTATTCATACTAGACTATTTTTCCCATGAATGTTGATGCAGTTAGACTGTCAACTCCACACTGCCTCCTAACTTTCAAGTTAAAGTGAAAATGTTTAGTGTTTTAACCTGAAAATTACACGCCAGAGTGTTTTTTCAATACCTGCCCGCCGCTAGAAGGACCATCAGGTGCTGCAGCGCCAATACGATATGGCATGCCATATTGTTAGAAGCACAGACATGATCGGTGAGATGGCGCCACTAACTCTCGCTTGGTGGTTGGATAAATATAATGATATTGTTAATATCTGTCGTTCAAGCGTTGTAGGTGAACGGCGTATACTTACCAGTGTAATTCGCGATGTAGAAACTGATATTTTCAAGCATAAGTCTCGTTACCGGGGCCTCAGCAAGATTTATCGCCGCCGACTCGTTTGTACAAGTTAAATAATAATAGGCGGTCTGGGAACATTATTGCATTTTGTTAAAAATATTTAATTTGTTTGTTTGCCGCTAAAAAAACTGGTTTCTTTAGCCGTCAGTTTCTTAACAATACATGATCATGTACTTAAGTACAATAAAGCCACTTGTCAAAAGTACTTTTATCGCATGAAACTCATAAACATGATATTAAACAAATTTGTTGGTAGGTCAATGTGTGTAATGTGAAATTTTGTAACTCTTCTATTTTATTGCCCAACGTAACATGGCTAAATGTCACAAATCATGAATTAATTAGCTATTTACAGCTACATTAGATAGTAATTAATTACTAATAATGGTTACAAACACATTCATGTGTTTCTTGGAATTTGGAGAGAGAATAGTACCTACTTACATGATTATTAATTTTCGAAATGGGGTTGTGCTTCACTAAGTTGATGGTGGCGTTATGACAAAAATCTGCGAGTTGGATGCCGTAGTAGTGTAAAATCGAGCACACTATCATCGTAAATAGCATTGACACTAACATAGCTGGCTGTAACGAAATGAATGATTCTGATTATTAACAGTGTAATCTACACGGTCGAGACGTCTGTGCTGTACGAGTATAAGGCTCAATTTATTATTGCGGTGTATATAATTTATTGCGGTGTAAAGGAATGGAAGCGAATCTTTGTAACGGTATTGTACATAGCGTAATGAACTTTATGGTCAATTGTGGAACGTACAAACTAGATACGAGTCAAAAATCACGTCGCGCGTCTGCGGCGGAATTCTCGCGCATTCGCGAGCATTCCGTAATTGCCGCCGGCGACGCCTGGCGAATCTACGGAAAGTGGCGCGATGGCAGGCGTTGTGGGACGTCAAATGTCGACGAAATAGTATTACCTCAAGGCGCAGTCGCGAGAAAGCTCCCGAATATTCGAGAATTCCAGCGACCGCGTGCATCTTCTTAATAAAATATTTTTTGGAGTCACTCAAACTTAAAACTTTATTTAATACAGGTTGTATTACACCTTTTTTAGGTCGTTACATTGTGAGTTTTGATAGGATTCATCAATTTTGTTGCTCGCGACTTATAGTTTTTTTACGCCATTTTCGCAATTTTTTTCTATGTTCGTCGCTACCCGCGACTGTTTTTAATTTATTTTTAATAATAGGTACCTACACATTATTTTTATATGATTCCAGTGTTAATCTATAGGTATTTAAATGCTTGTCATCTTTATATGTAGAAAGTTAACACGTAAAATACTATGAAAGTGTTCAATGTACTCGGAAGTTCGATAATAAAGTCGTCGAATTACAATCATAACGGTAGTCTAAACAAAAGCTACTTAAGTGCTACTATCGCCCATGTTATTATTTTTACGGTAGCTTAATAGGTTCTCGAGTTTCAAGTGTTTATATTATACGTGTCTTATGGCCACCCGTAATGTAATGTACGTCTATACGAGGTACCTAATGCTCAAAACTCAAATTTAAAAAAAAAAATTTATATATCACATCAAGCATAACAGTGCATCAGCTCAAAACGTTAAATAATACCTAATTATTCCGTAACGTACGTGAGTTTATGTGCAATCTTTAGAGATTTATTTCTTACGTTTCATATTAATACATCGAGTATATAACCAGAAATAGAGACGAAATGTCATTTAATTTGATCAAAAACTATTCTTTCTCTCTAAACTATTTGCTGTTTTTTCCCACACCACCGAATGAAATAGCCCCAATTGTTAGAGATATTACCTTTATTACAATATATACAGAATATTTTTGGAACATACGGAGACGTACATACAGGTCAGTCGTTGTCGCTGTACTATTTCAGTTTTCTAATTTGTGATTTCAGCGCTAACGAGAGTTGATATTTACAAGTGGTATAAGGTCCATTTTCCTGATAAGTTGCCAGGGATGGATGGCACTTATTTCGTCTCAATTTCTGGTTATATACTCGACATACTAACATTAGTAATTAACATTACAATATTATTATTATTTCATATCTACTGTCTGATATACGACTTTTGAAAGACTATCCTTGAGCTAGAGCGTTGAAAGTCTAATTTAATTGAGATGATGCATAGTTATGTTTAAAGTACCGACAAATATTGTGGAAAAGATCGCAAATGGAAGTTAAAAGCAAGCCGAAAGAACTATAAAGCGTTATTTTATTCTAGATCAACACACAACTGGGTATGACGTCTGCTGAGTGGTATGCGTTAATGTAATTAGATTTATGGTAATTACGTAAAAACAAATTGTAATACATGTAGGTTTAGGTGGGAAGCTAACTAAAGTGCTAAAATCTTTTTTTAATTTTTGATTTTCTTTTTTATTAACTTTTTGTTCAGCTGTTTAAATATCACCAGCTCTTTTTCCAGTTATTGTAGGAATCTCAGTCATAAAATGAATGTTTATTTACTTCCACATGTCCTACCCACTTGAAATGTGGTAATATAATGGAAATCCAAGGACATTACAATAATATTGTAACCTTGATTTGACACTACAATCAGGAAAGTCTGCAGGGCACAAAACTCCTCGACACTTCCAGTAAAACCATCGTATTTGAGCTCATTGAATTGATCTGAACGAGTAGTTAGCTACCAGGTGGTGACTTCATTATTTATTTTTGTAGTATACTGTTTGTTAAATTTTCCGATCACTTATTAATGTCGTTAATGTGTTTTTGAACGTGTGCATTTGAATCAATTTGTATAATACTTACACAAATGTAGTTTACCGCCTTTATGCGTATATATGTGTATTTCTTCATGAGGATCATCAGTATTATTGGTAAAGGTATTGCACAGAGCCACAGTACATTTTCTAGGATAAAGTAAGTACGCTCTTTTTTTAGTGCACCCTGTAATATAGTAGTAATACATTAGTATGGGAAGTAAGTTGTGGTAACCAATCACGACAGTAATATTTTCGAAGAAAGACTGTTAAATAGCACATTACACCATGTTCTGCGAATTTTGCTGCGAGACTCGACAATATCGCTTAAAATCGAAATTGAGGATGTACAGGAGGCGACGAAGGAGGTTACGACATTGTACTGGTGTTCGGGTGCCAATGTGGTTTAGCCTTAGCGAAAGTAAAAGAAGGGCTCGGTCCAAACAAATTCATTCAAAATTTATAGAAAGTGACCAGGAACCAGTAAAGAGGGTGATAAAAGGGTGGGACAACAAAGAAGGAGGTCAGCGTCGTAACAACGGCTTAGTTCAACTGAGTTACGGGCAAACAAAGGTGTGTAAGCTCCTGAAACCATTTGGAGTATTTTTCAAAGAGATTGGCAAGCGTTCTTCAACCGCCTTACGCATTTGGCATAGAAATTTTCAGACAGATATTACTCATTCCCTTATTGTAATAAAGCCACCATGTGCTCACAAGTCCAAAATGCTTTTATTACATGAAAGTTATAGAAATAATACTAGGTACACGAAACGTCTAGTTCGTCTCTCCACCGACGCCTTGATCTACCGCATGGTCGTTTTCTATTTTTGGGGATCCATTCTATGGATCGTGGCCCGTGGACCGTGGATAACGTGGCCCGCAGTCTCATTTCAGTTTATCCGCTGTTTTGGAGCGCAGATCACTGTTTCTATTTCGGTCTGATAATTTGACTCCCAAGATGCTGCGCTCCATAGTTCGTTGACAGACTCCAAGTTTGGACTTTTGTCGAGGTGTTAGTGACCAGGTTTGTGCGCCGTAGGTAAGGATGGGCAGAATGCACACGTCCATGAGTTTTCTTTTGAGCGTGAGTGGTAAGTCGCCTTTCATCAGATGTTTCGTGGACCAATAAGCCTTTGCAGGCGTTTTCAGTGCGTCTTGTGATTTCAGCATCTTGTCTGCTCTGGAAGCATACTAATTAGCCTACATTTAAATGCAGTCATGCACATACTCAATTCTCGCATCCTCGACCAGTATCCTGTAATCTATGGAGTTGGTCATAAGTTTGGTGTTCAACCTGTTCATGCAGAGTCCAATTTGAAAATTGTGTATAGGTATGTGTAAATTTTACAACACTCCTATTTAAGTACAAAAAGTTATCAATTTCATTTATAGAACCTGTAAATCCCTATGTTGAAAAGTTATAAATTTGCAAATGTGGCTTTATTATACCAACTGCGCGTATTCAAAAAAGGATTTATTTAATGTCAATTTGCTTACCTGAAAATAATCCTTTGCAGCCTTTAATTCCTTCATTGGTTTAGTAAAGTAATTTTTATCGTGTCTTTTTACTAAAAACCTTATGGTCTCAAATAAGGGTTTTGGAATTAGTTCAGATGTGCTAGTAATATTCTTTGCATGTCTGTATGCATTTAGCAAATACCATTTCATAATATTTAACTGAAATCAGACAACGAAAGGAAACATAATAAATATTAAGTCAGTCTTTGTTTGTGATTGGTTTAATAGTATGGCACAAAATTTCAACCAATTACGGGGTTCATGTGTGCCGATATTTTTTTAAATAATATTTTTTTATAACACTGTGATTGCCAATGCATGGTTGTTTTAATATGGCATGTAATGTCGATATAAATTCGAAAAAGTCATGTGTAAGTACAACATAGGTATTTTAATGGGTCAACAATGACAACACAGGTCAATTCCTGAAGCCAATATCTTACTTTCATTTTGCACTTTGTTTTAGTAAGATTATATCCAGAAAGTTTCGTATTTAATTTATTATAGAGAAAGCGACCAAGAAAACAAAAGAAACGTTTAGAAAATATAGTGTTGAGCCGATAATAATGGCGGTCCACAGGGTTGATCCGTCTTTTCCCACGAGACAGAATGGGGTTAAACGTAAAAAGTCCATGCTGTTTTAGTACCGTTTATAATATGAACAGCTGACGAACAGTTGAAACTTTAGCCTCTTTATATAAGAGAGAAGTAGGGTGTCGAAAAGGGCGGAAAGAAGATACCTTCAAAATAGCTCTCTGCGTTCTTTCTAGTTCCAAGATTGTACGTTTTGGAGCACCACCCCAAGATGTTATACAGTAAGTAAGTAGAGACACTCTTCGCTGATGACGTCAGCAATCTTAACGCACTGGGTACGATCACTCAGACAGATCTCGAATAATTAAAGTTGAATACCCCTGATTCCCATTCTTTCCATTTTTCTAATGAGAATAGGCACAGAGGCAGTGTCAGAAGCGTTAGCAAGATCCAGAAAAATGCCCAAAACCTTCTGCCCACCATCTATGTTGTCAGATCATGAACAGCATTTTGCCAGCCCGAAACCCATACTGTGAAGGTGATAGTATATTGCTCTTCTCTAAAAAGTTCACGAGCCTGTTGTTCATGATTCTTTCCAGTATTTTCGATAGGGCAGGAAACACAGCTATGGGTCTGTAGTTGTTGACACTGTCTCTGTCCCGACTTTTATAGATAGGGTGTATTAATGATCTTTTAAACGGTTTTGGAAACTGGCCCGATGCTAGTGCGAGGTTGCAGATGTAAGTAATGGGTAGTACTACTACATTTAAATGTTTTTTTACCACTATTGATTTAGACCACTAGTGATTCTGTCCCAACCCATAGCATAATCGTTACGCAGGGATATAATCAACTGAGCAACTTCCTTTTCATCAGTCGGTAAAAATACCATAGACTGGGAGTTTATATTGTTAATAGTATGGGATGCGTCACTAGTTGACCCATTCACTACGTTCTCAGCAAAATTCTTACTGATATCTGCGAAAAATTTATTGACCATGTTAACATATTGAAGCGGATTGTCAAATTCAAATTCAAAATTCAAAATAATCTTTATTTCATAGGTAAGCATTATTACACTTGAAATCGTCACAATATTAAACTCTACCGCTCATTCGTAAGGCAGATTCCCCTGAGAAGAATGAGCAAGAAACTCTAGGGGTTGCTCTTTGTAAATAACATTTACAATATATTTTTTTTATGATTTGAAACATCAGAGATCGAGACTACCTCCATGAGCTAAACGGGTTACTACCACGGATTTTTGTCATCCAAGTACGCAGAAGTTGTATAATAACCTTTAGTATAAAGTTTTTGTTTCACTATAGTTTTAAACCTCGTGTAAGGCAAATTTTGTATATCAACCGGAATCTTGTTATAGAAGCGTATACATTGCCCCTTAAATGATTTTTTGACTTTGTGAAGACGACTATCAAGAACAGCTAGTTTATTTCTATTTCTCGTATTAATGTTATGTCTGTCACTATTTTTCATAAATAAATTACTATTCCTTTTAACATAAATTACATTCTCATAAATGTACTGTGAGGCTAGTGTAAGAATGTTAATTTCCTTAAACTTATCTCTCAAAGATACTTTGGGGCCCAGATTGTAAATTGCCCTAACTGCACGATTCTGCAGGACAAAGATTCTGTTGATATCGGCGGCATTACCCCAAAGCAAAATGCCGTATGTCATTAGACTGTGAAAGTAGCTGAAGTAAACCAATCTAGCGGTTTCGACGTCTGAAAGTTTCCTTATTTTTTTAATCGCGTACACTGCAGAGCCGAGCCGTTTTGATAACTTACTTATATGGGGACCCTTATAATGGGGAACCTTACTTATATGTCTGACATATGTAACAAATGTGATATCTTTACTGTTTACTCTGTTTGTTATCGACTTTTTTTTTATAATAACGCACACACTCACCATAGCCCCGCACTAGGGAAACCCTGTGTCGCGGGTGCCATGGACATACACATAGACAACCACAAATTACGCCCAAACTCACGAGAGAAATAAATGTAGGGCCATACAAATATTTCTCCCGGCCCGGGAATCGAACCCGGGGACCTCTGCGTGGCAGTCCGGTATGGTAACCGTTCGGCCACGGAGGCAGTTAATAGCCGTCCAGAGCTGTTTAGCATTATTACCAGCATTATTTATTTCCTTCCTCTCAAAGTCTAATCTTATCTTTTTCAAAAGCTTGTTACAATAATTTCTGTATCTAGTAAAGGATGTTTTTAAAATTTCATTATTAGGGACTTTTTCAACTTTTTGTGCAGGTTGTCTCTATGCCGGATACATCGAAGAAGGCCCGGAGTAAGCCACGGTTTCGTATTTTTCTTACGATTAGGTATTTTGACAGTTTTTGAATTTGACTCGATATCTTGTGTAATAAGGCTGATCATTAGCTCCGCTACTATGTTAGGATTTTGAATGTGATACACTTGTTCAAAATTAAGTTGCATTAAATCTAAGTCTAACTGATCATAATTAATGCGGACAGTAACTTTTTTTGTAGCCTTTTTAGAAATTTTCTTGTGTAGGAATAATAAGATCGGTCAGTACTGAGTGGGCCACATTAGTGAAAGCCGGGAGAGTTGTTTATAAGACAAAGTGATCGAGGCAAGCCTGAAGTCGCGTAGGCAATGTAAGTGCAGGTAGTAGGCCATGTGAAGCTAATAAATTAAGGTAACTATGTTTAGAATAGAATAGAATAGAATACATTTATTACATAACACCACAACACAATAATAAACAGTAAAAAATAAAAAGTAAAAAAATACATAAATAAAAATAAAACAGAACTAAATTAAATCTAAAACAAACTAAATTAAAACAAACAGAAAATGAATAACAAAAAAAGAAAACTAAATAAAATTAATTAAAAATAAAATCTAAGCAATAAATAATTATGCGACCACAAAGCTGGTCAACATTATTGTTGTACTAAGTAGATGTCATGTGTGCGGCTGTGGCGTATGTAAAAGGATCCACTCAGCTAATGTCACCGCCGGGACAAGGCTGTGATGCTGATTTTCAGTGGACTCTAAAACCGAGTGAGTACCGGACGTGTGTGTTGCGTTCAAACTAAAATAAATTACGTATATATTTCTTTAATGTAGTATGGTGTGTTCTCTTATATTTATAAAATACTTAAGTACAGTTCGCGAGGTCTAAGCTGAGCTTTGCATTTGTGTGAGTGATCACCAAAAGTAGAGTCAGACAAAAAACTTTAAAAAATAAATTTTATTATGTATTAGGTAGGTTACGGCATCGTGACCATGAAACTTTTTTCTTCTTTTATTGCGTGGTCACATACATTTTTCCATTCTTGTACAGTGATAGTGTCAACTTTTTCTTTCGCTAACCTCATAATTGTATCCATATTCATCGACTCGTTTTTTTTAGCCACGTATCTTTTTATCATTGCCCATATATTTTCAATTGGGTTGAAATCCGGGTGGCAGGGTGGTAGACGAAGGACGCTGTGACCATGTTCTCTAAATAAAGTGCCAATTTTATATTCAATAAATCTTTGTTTGTTTTGCATTATCAATTGATAGAGTTGTGGTTTAAGCATCGATGTAGAGTGATCGATATTGCGATACTTGAGCCAGTCAATCATATCTTGTTTACGACTATTTGAGTTGGGAGCGGGATTTTCTAACAAATTGTGGTAAGATGCATTGTCTATCACCACAACGCTATTGGGCTTTAAATTTGGAATTAATTGCGTTTGTAACCATTTCGTGTAGTTTGCTGCATTCATATTATTATGGTAATCACCACTTTTTTGATTTGCTTTGAACATCAGCAGTGCATTTGGTATGAAACCGTCCTCTCCGCCGGCATAAACTATTATTAAACGATTTCCTTTAGAAATTGGTTTCTTCAAACCAGAAGTGCTGCCATCTGAATAAGATTTTGAAGAAGTGTGAGTCGTGTCTATGTATGTTTCGTCGGTATAAATGACTAGCCCTGAATGCGATATTCGGAAATTTTAATCAAAAAATGTATACGTAGATAACGTATCTCATCTTTTTCCATTAGAACTTTTCTATTATCTTCTGTTCTTTTCAATTTAAATCCTAAAAGAGACACTTCTTTACGCAATGACCAAATTGAACGTGGATAGTTTATTTCTCTCTTCAACTTTTCATGTATTCGTTTCATAGTTGGCACCTCTTTACCAGTAATGTGAAAGTTGTGAATAGTTCTTCGGATTACCGCTTTATCAAAATCATCAATGATAATTAAATTTTTCCTGCATCTGGTCTCTTTCGGAGATTTAAATTTGCTTCCTTCTTCCAAAAGACGTTTACCTTCCAATAAAACTCTTTTGACAGTGGACAGCGGAATTCCCGTCGTTGTCGCTACCAATTGGGCTGATGTAGTGACACTTGACATGTCGTTGTCGTTCATATCTTTAAAATAACTATTTCAATTACACAAAATTTCCTTTACTTGGCTATTTAAAGGTTTTCGTTTATTTGTGTTGGCAGCCATTTCACTAAAAAATCGAACACAAAAACAAAATATTAAGAATTAAACACGTCACGCTGCTACCAGTACAAGAGGTGAAGTGTGAAAGGTGCGCGGCGGAGTTACGTAGCGCGAGGGATGCACCGCGCATCAGGCCAATTGACAAAAAGCAGTTTAAACCGATTTAAACCTAGCAAAGGACGCGTCGCCCTCTAGGCCGACATCACACCTACACTATCTATGTGCACTCACACAAATGCAAAGCTCAGCTTAGGCCTCGCGGACTGTAATTCATTTGATACATATATACAAGCATATGCAATGTAATGTCTATTATTTACAACAAACAAAAATGGGACTTATTTAGTTTGAAAAGATATCGATTGCGAGATTTGTGTCACGTGGGCGACGCAAGACGAGCGGGTAGGCTTTTTTGTTTTTTTTTGTTTGACTGAATCTAGACATTGATCATGAATGTTTATATTTATGTCACCAGCGATAATGATATTTTTATATTGTTTAATGTTCAGTAAGATTATGTTGAGTGAATTAAGAAATTTAGAAATATCCCTATAGCCTGGAGGACGATATATTGCTAAAAGAATAGTGTTCGAGTCAATTTTTATCATCAGACAATTTGCATCCAAAATATAAGGTTCTTCAACAGAAACTACAATACTTTTACGAACATAGACAACCACGCCCTCATTTTGTGTCAGAGTGTTATTAGTCTTAAAATTATTACAGCCTGGAAGGTCTGGGATGAGTTGAGTAACAGAAAGCCAACACTCGGAGAGCGCGATTATGTTCCACTCTACATTCGTTCTTGCGAGTACAGTGCTTGGCCAACTGGCCAACTGACCATAGGCGCTTATTTAGGCTCTGTTTTTTATCAATAGGATTGGTTATCTATTGATGCGTGCATAGGTGTACGCGTAAACATTACGTCTGTGGAAACAGTTGCATATATTGAAGGCCGGCTGAAACAACATTAATTTATGAATTCTGAAGGCCCGGCAGTGTTAAACCTACAGAGTGTTACCAGACTTATGAAGAGCGATAAATGATATGGAAGTAGAAGACTACCTAAGGAACTCTGGTATCAATTAATAAGTAGCATTCGAAGACCATTTGTATGAACAAGTCGCTCAAGAAATCAGAACCGAATTTGCAAAGCTATCAGCTTTTTAATAAAACTTGCATGATTGATTCGAAAGTCTTGGAGACGTTTAGGGACGCGACTATTATCTATCATAGTGCTTACATTTATGACAAGTGGTGTAACTCCATACGAACCTAGCGACACGGCGAGTGTATACGCCACCGAGTACGGACGCACACATTCGCATAATCTCGCGCGGTACTCGCGTTGCACATCACGCTGCCGTCCACTAACTTAACGCGGTTAAGTGACAAATAGTCAAACATTAATTTTAAATAGCAAAAGATCTTTTAAAATTAGTTAACGTGTTCGATTTAACGGAACTTAACCTATCGATGCGTAGCTGAAATATCATTAAACAATTTCAATATTCAAAACTGGGCTATTGTTTATTTATGACATATCAAAAAAATATTTTGTCACTTAGCCGGATTTTTCTTAGCGGACGGCGGCGCGTGTGACGCGCCTTTCATTACAGAATTAAAGGTACGTATAAAAGTATGTTGGCATAAAAATATCAATATGTTAGTACTGAATTTGACAATGGTTATTTCAATGTAAGTGTGTAAATACCTTATTTTTTCAAATTATGTTTTGCGACCTGTAGGTACAAATAAAATAACAAAAAAAAAATGACAAGCCTACGTTGCGAGCGACGCGTAGGCAATGACGCGCCAAACAGGCGAAACTTAGAGTTAGCGCTACAGTGGCGGGTCTTCTGTTTAATTAGGTTGCGTTTTCTATTATATTCTGTTGCGGCTGCCGAGCCACTATTAATTTTTACACAATATCCTGATACGCGCGCCTTCTTTGCAGTCACAACAAGTGTCACAAACGCGCGGCTGGTGCGCCATTGTAGCGCTTCTACAAGCGTCTAATTTGAATGCGTCCGTAGACAATTTCTCTAATTATATTTACTATGGTTCTATTGACATATTACGGCAATTGTTAGTCTTAAGCTTACAGATTGCTGCTGGCCAATAATAGTGGAGTAGAGGCATATGGTACATTATTGCAGAGGCCGGGAACTAAGGGATTGCTGTTTAATTCAAAGTAATATTTATTGACATGTTAGGACAATAATTATTGTTAAAAGGAAATGTTATAGTCTGCTGAAGTTCTGATGATGTGGTTGTTTCGTAATTTCGTTATCATTTTTTTAGAACTCATTTTCGCGACCAAAATATAAAAAAAAAGAACACCAAAGCACTTTAGTTTTAGCACCATTATTTTTTATTAAGTAGGCGATATAGGTAGGTGTTTTTATTTATTGCAATTAGGAACATTGGACAGTTGGCTGCATGAGTTTTTCTTTTGCCTGTTTACATGGTTCATTCTTAGTAGTTAGATTACAAACTTTAGAGAAGAAGTAGCACGGTCCATAAATTTTTGAAAATAATGCTAATGTTTACCTATCAGAAGTCTGAAATGACATTTTCCAGAAATAACGTTTGCTCGAATTTTCATAACCTCGAAAGTAATTTTGAGAGGAAAATGTTTTTTCTTTTAAACCTAACTTAACCTAACCTAACCGAACCTAATCGTGTCTTTGCAACAAACATATAATATATCCTGAAAGAACAACGGCTTCGTTATAATTCGGTTTTCGGTGTAATGAAAATTCGAACAAACGTTATTTCGGAAAAATAAATTCGAGTTTGTGATAAGTTACGAATGCCAAATTTTTCTGAGCACATTTGAGAAATATATAATATGTCGTAGCCAAAAAGTTTTGTTTTTCTTACCTTGATGGTGACTTGGTCAATTTTATTTATGAGTGGCTTTATAATATATTGACCAGATTCGTATAGATCATTATGCATTAAGTAAATACCTACAAATCCAATGAAAGCGGTTAACACGCTCAACAGGGCACTTAAATACATCATTACCTGTAAAATCAGAATACTGTTAATTGCAATAAGATACGGTGACGAGAAATAGATTTTACTACGGGTCGATTCTCAGGTGAGGTATGCAACTTTCAAAGGTCTTTGAGTACAGTATTACTTGCTTGTAAAAAATAAATAATGTCTCTTTGCAGCAAAATATTGTATCTACTATATTTATAGTAGATACAATATTTCCCTTTCCCTCTCTCTCTCTGCGTGTCCCTTAGCCGTGGGGCATCCAGTAGAGTATCTAATGTTGCAAATTGTTTACATTGGAATATGGAAATTAATATCTCCGGTCGAATCATCCGCTCGAGTGAATATTAAATTACGGTACATTTATGTAGTACGCACGCACAGCATCAAAGAAGAATGGCGACATCCCATGTATTTCGTGACACAGTGTTTTTGACGACGTGCATTAAAGAGGACTATCAATACTTGTGATTGTTTATCAAAACATCAAAAAAGATAATTGAGTATAGCTTGTAGAAGCTGGGTTATAAAGTTGATACAGGTTATATATATATATTTTTAATCTTTATTTATTTGTAGATAGTTTTACAATGCCACCTTCATGGTGGCTCTCTGAATCTACACATTTCTTAACGTAATTGTCTCCTTTACGAGTATTACTTTATATAGCAGCTCAGCCTCTTCAGAGGTCGGAGCTGCCAGGACGCTATTAACCTTACCGAGATCGTACGTTTTAATGTTGAGTTTGTGTCGCTACGCCTCGTCCCGGCTACATTCCATTGTCACGTGAAACACGTCTTCAACAATCCCATATTCGTTACAAACGGGCGAATCAACTTTCCGCATCACAAAGGCATAGCTATTCAATGGGATGTGGCCGGAGCGAAGACGGAGAGCGATAGTCAGGTCTTGTCTGCTGATTTCAAACAAACTGAACCACGGGGAAGGAGAAAGTGTCGGCTGGATTGTTTTGTACTATATGCTTTTTGTATGGGATCTTACATTGAAGTATTCTGACCACGTATCGTGGCACATATCTCTGATCTTGAACAAATACTTCAGCAAACCAAGGAACAATTTGAATCAAATTGCCGGTCTCAGTGTCTTCTCTCGCCAGCCGATCCACTTCCTTGTTCCCCGCGATACCATTCCAATCCATTGAATTGTAACTTTTTTGTTAGCCGCGTACAGTTTTTGTATAAGACGAACGATGGTGTACGCCAATGGAATGCCCCTGAAAATGTAAGTACAACGATCCAAATGTTGTAGGGTACTTTTGGAGACTGTTAAAATAACAAAATTATTGTGATTAATACTTTCAATATATGAGAGCGCTTCAACGATTGCAATCATTTCAATTGTCATTATTGATGTATTACCCTCGATGTGCAATTTTATATGTTCTCCGGTTTGCCAATCTAAGAATGCTGCCCCACTGCCACTATCTATTTTTGAGCCGTCGGTATAAATTTTATGATGACCATAATACTGAGCACTCTGAGCACTGCGCTAACCATAATTTGCAGTTGAGAGCTTTGTTGTACGAGATTTTATCGATATTTGTTACTAAACAGCCTTTTAAGTCTTTATTAGTAACCCTGGTATCGAGTGAAAACATTTCTAAAAGGTTACTGGAGTAGATCGGGGCGTTTTTGAAGTTATTATGCGTAAGCCCAATTAAAGGTCTTTTTGTGACGCCAGTAGAGATCCACAGATGAATTTGTAAGGTCATTCATAAGTCCGATTGATATATTTGTACTGATTTGGATTTTTACCACATTTTCCTGCCAGGTACTGTATTCGTACTGACAAAGGTGGCAAGGTCAATTCTGATTCCATTACGTGCACAGGAGTGCTTTTAGTAAACCTATCAATTACTCTCATACAAACGTTTTGAAGTTTATCTAATTTGGATAAATGGGTGGCGATGCTGTATCCATACAAAAAACTGGCGTAATCAATCCGACTTCTTATCATTGCAATATATAAACGCCTTAAATGAAGTTGGTGTATTCCCATCTTTAAGTACCTTTTCTTTGATCTCATCGATCTCATATGTTTCCCCATAGCAAACCACGGTCTAGCTAAAGACCTAAGTACTTGACAGCATCTACTACTTGTAACGGTTGGTTGTTACGTTGAATATTAATATACTATCTTTTTTTGTATCCCCTCTTAAAATGACACGCTGTACTTTTATTTGGCGAAATCTCTAACCCCACGTGTAACAACTACGAATTTGTTTTGTTTAAAGCTTGCTGAATCTTTATTTCTCCCTCTGCAGGATTGTCGCAATGACAATATAGAACATAATCTTCGGCATATTGTGAAATAAATATATAACTCTAAAGAATTTTACAAATCTTCATAGTAGCTATTTTGAATAATATTGGTGACAATGGGTCTCCCTGTACTAGACCACGACTAGTTGATCTCTCTAAAAGTATATCGTCTAATTTAATCTTTAGATTTCGATCTTTCAAACAATGCCAAAGGTACGCGCATATCTCACGCCCTACTTTTAATGAGTCCAGGATAGAAATAAGTCCAGTATTTTCGACATTATTGTAAGAGTTGTCAATGTCCAAAAAACATTCCATAGTTGCCCCTTACCCCTTATGGTTATGTTATAACATTGTCCTGTATTTCGTTTCAGATGTTTGTTTGTAGCAGCAGAAAACAACAAGTTTTCAGTTTGTCCCCAAAAATAAAAAAAAACTTAATTAAATTTTTATTGAATTGATATTCAATTATTTTTTGTGAAAT